CGGACGCGGTGGCGCGGCGGATGATCGCGAGCGCTTTGGGGGTGCGGGCGCCGCGGCCGACGGAGGAGCAGAGGGCGTATGATCGTGCCGTTAGGGAGAAGGAGAGGAAGAGGAGGGAGGAGGAGAGGGAGGCGGAGAGGCGGAGGAAGGAGGAGGAGGATAGGGCGAAGGCTGCTATTTGGAATGATTAATCGACTTAACTAATGGCTTGGGAATTGATTGGTCGGTTGGCTGGTTGATTGGTTAGTGGCTGGGATGAGGTTGGATCTAAGAGGTTGGGAAAGTACGTTGGGGAGGCAGAGATTTTGCATCTGCGAGTACCCGTTGGAGTGGAAGATGGGCTTGTTTCGGGATGAGTGGGTAGCCGTTAATGTGGCTGCTTTGGGATTCGAGCAATTGCGCTTGCGGGTGGCGGCATATATAGGTACCTATGAGGTACTTATGAAAGGGTATTGACATGAATAAAACGACGACATACCTAGATAATAGTGGATGGATTGTGCAGGTTTGAAATGGGTATCGTAATTCAAGGGCTAGGTGGGTGTTATTTTCTGATATATAGCACATATTTATACCAAGAGCAAAAGCTCACGCAGGTCTAGGGCGGAGGAAATTGTTTCAAACGTCATGGTAGATTTGAGATAATATATACATTTATCTTTTTAAGCTGAGCATAATGCTTTCATCGTGAAGATTAGAGTGATGTTGTCTAGGTAGCGTGCGGTTTACCAAGGGTCATTCATCTTTAACCCGTAATTAGAGGCTTCCGCAGAGATATAATCAATAATCTTCCCTTCTTGCCCTCATAAAAACTCAGGACCTAAACTGGATCACAAGGTCTCCCTTTCCAGGTCAACACCAACCTCTGCCCAGCACCCTCATCCTCATCCTCACCCTCACTAAACCGCACACCAACACCCAACCCCTCAAGCCCTTCCTCCTCCGCCCGCCCATTCCACACCATCTGCTCCAGCCTCCCATCCGCCGTACAAGACACAAAGCCCATAGGCCAACGACTGCGTCCCAGCGCATCGCGCATCCCTTTCGTCGCCGGCTTCTGCGCGACCAGGAAGCCCAAAATAGGGCTACGGGGGCTGGAGGTAGGGTAAGGGGAATGAGGGGAAGAAGACCGCCAGGCGGGTGGTGCACCGGCGAAAGCGCCTTCCAGTTCCCGGATCTGGTGCGGGCCGACCCTGGTGCTTTGCGCGGAGGCGGCTTTGCACTGCACAAGAACGCGCAGGGGTGGTGAGGAGGGGGTGATGGGTAGACGCCACGTCCCGAGCAAGTCGATGCCGCAGTCGTCGCGGCCGCCTACGCGCTGTAGGTCGAAGCCTAGGGGCGCGAGGGCCGCGGCCACGGTGTATTCGTACCGTGTGCCGACGTAGGTCTTGGATGTGAGGTCTAGGCCGGTGCGCTCTGCGTAGGCGGCGTAGGAGGCGAGGTCGTTGTGAGAGCTGCTGCTTCCTGGGTTGCCTGGGTAGAGGAGGGTGCTGTTTGGAGGTGAGGTGGAAGATGAGGAGGAGCGGCCATGATGAGGCTTGAGAGGGTGATTATGAGTATGTGTATAAGAAATGGGTGAATGGTGCTGCCGCCATATTTGACGATAGCGTATGATTGACCTCATTCCATTCCCGACTAAACTGAGTGAAAATCTCTGAAGTGCTGGTGAACATTTGATGTGAATCACTGATGTAGCTGTAGACTCAAGGTAGAGTAATCTTTATCGATAAGACCCAGTACTCTCCATACCAGGGTTGGCCCCTGCCAGCTAGGTAGTTTGCCCCACAGTCTGGTACCCGACCAATTCAATTGTACCAGACTAGTGTTCTGCATAATACGTATTATGGCACCTCTATACGGTATTACATTATACATACCCACATAATACCATTATACACGTACTAAGCATGTATTATAGCAGTATAATGGTATAATGATTATATAATATCACCTTCCATTCTTAAAGTGAGATATTACATGCGATTAACTACGATTGAAAACGATTAACTTAAGTAAATATAAGGTATATTTACATATTTTATTTTTTAAATTTATTTCATTCGTTGAAATAATCGAATGAATTGATAGCGATCCAAGCAAAAACCCGGTATCATTGGTGATGCGTGGTCATAGCGCCCCTTTAAGTGGGTAATCTCTGGAATATTACATGTACCCACCATATATGCGGGACCGTGTGGGTTTATCCGTTCCGGTTATACGTATAATAAAACATAATACGGTATCGGTATAATACATTATACGTATAATGTATGTATGTATAATAGATTGCAGAACACTATACCAGACGGTTCTATTGACGCTGTACTTCTAAGCTAAAAGTTGCAACCATTTGGATCATCACTCTGCGCCGAGTTCACGAGAATGCATCATGGGGGATAGACTTACTCAGTTGCAGGATGCTGTTGATCAGGTTAGTGAATATATCACGATGAGCCCCCAAACAGCAACTAATTTCCGAATCTCTAGCTCGCGCAGCAATTCGTTGCCAGCATCCATTACCTCAACCGACATCACAACCTCGAAACTCTAGGTCCGGGCGATCAAATCCGAGATGTAAAACAAGAGCCGGGTCAAGAAGACGGCAAGTCTACATACAAATAGCATAGATATCTGTCGCGCATATAATACTAATATGCCATGTAGTGGATCCACACCCCGACGACGTCTTCAAGGCGTCGCAAGTCGAGCTCGCCCAAGACCTTATCACGAAAGAGCAGCAGATCGAGCTTCTCATCTCCATACTCCCCGGCCTCGACAACAGCGAACAAGACCAAGAGCGCAATATCAAAGAGCTAGAAGAGGAGCTCAAGCTGGCTGAGGCGCAACGGCAGAAGGCGATCAAAGAGAAGGAAGATACAATGGCAAAATTAGACGCCGTCATCCGAAGCATCAGGCGCCCGTGATATTGGAATGATGCATGGTGGGATGTTGATGTGATACCCCGGTCAGGCTAGGCGTTCTGGACATCGTTGCTTTCTAGTAAGCTACAGGAAACACAAAATGCGATCTATATTAGGCTATAATAGAGGTTTATTCTATGCGATTTAAGGCTTTACTGCCCTCCTGATGCTAATGATCTCCTCTAAATGCCTGGGTCATTCACGCCGAATTTGATGATTTGAAGAATTGCGGAAATACGTCCCGTAGTTCTTCCAGATGCCTTATCTGATATTTAGATGCTTGGGTTTCCGGGACTGGCAGGCCCTCCTCGACTAGGTGAACTGACGTCCATCCCAACTGCTGCGCACCGACTGCGTTTGCATATGAATCATCTAGATATAATTAGCTATTATGAGTTCGAGTATGAAGTGTTTGGTGGTTAATAAAGATATACTTACCAACAAAATAACAGTCCTCAGCTCGTTCTACTCCGGCCTCCTTCATTGCCTTAGCAAACATGTCCTTATGCGGCTTGCATATGATGGGGTTTGTCGAATAGTCGCAATACGTAAGGCCCTCAAACAAGTCATCGATGCCTAATAGTTCGACAACTCTCTGGCCGTGTGTGATATAGGCGTTAGTCAGGAGCCATAATTTCACTTTAGAAGTATCGATGTCCTCGAGCAGTTTTCGTAGTTGCGGATTCCGTTTGATGATGCCCTCTAGGGGTAAGGCGTCGTCAACCTTGGCGTTGTAGTCCAAGGGGTCGATCTGGTGGTGCCGCACCAGTCCTTCGATCGCAAGACCGTAGTTCTTGTAATACTCCTTGTGTAACTTGACAGCTTCTTCTTCCGGAAGTCCGAGATGCGTCGCAAAGTATACATCTATGAGGTCGGCCATCAGGTCGTGGACCTTGGTGCCTGAGTTAATAGTTAGCATGAGTCCTTTTCTTCATTTCCCCTCTTTATTTGGTTTTCATAATAACTAGACGTACTTCTGGGGTATAGGCAATTGTCGATATCGCTTTTAATATTATTAATATTGATTTTTAAATATCGTATTGAGGGGAACGCTCACAAGAACAAGACAGGTCTAGATGTCGTTGCCCCTTTGGGCTCTGCCGTTTGCGATCCCATGGCTCGGTCTTTTCTAGTATGTAGTAGGAGCGGAGCTGGCAATAGAGAGTTATATAGACGATTTAATAGGCTTGTCGATGTTTAATATCGAATTGTTCTGTGAGACTTCAAGCGGGTAAGAGTTGCAATTGAATGGACTCCTAAATAAACTTCCAAAGTTGTTAGGAATTAAACGACTCAGAAACGTCGGTCCGTTTAAGCGGTTAAGGCGGATAGAGAGCGAGGCAATGGGGGAATTTAGTAGAATAGTCTAGACTAAGTAGTTATTATAATTGCAACTATATGTGATATAGGTATTTATATATCATTACCATTCTGAATATTGTGTCTATTCTCTAGGTACATTTATAGGCATCTTGTATTTGAATCAGTCCCTCACAGTTAGGTTAGACATATTGGAGCCAAGTCCAGTTCGAGTCACCGGCGAAACGAGACATCCTGAGCGACCCTTAGAAGGCTACCTCATACAAACATTTGAACACCGGCAACTCCAAAGACCCACGAGCACTAATGAAAACTTAGCACCGATTGGCTGGACAGATTTCTCGGGCTGCTACTAAAAAGAGTTCTTGAGTTTTCTGTCAGTCAAGGCGATCGGATACAGGGTACCTAAGTGACAGGTAGCTTTTGTTAAAGAAGGCTCAGGTGATATTGCGAGAGCATATTCAAAATGCCTAGTTAGGTACCTGGTCAATTGATACTGAATAACTGTATTTAGACCTTTCTTATTAATAGAATAATATCTACCAGATATTCTTCCTTTCCGGAGATCCAAGCCCAAGCGACTGGAAAGCATTTGATACGCTATGCAGCCACTAGTAACAAACCGGACTCGGTCAAACCTCGGGTCCTCGTCGAAGCCTGCTGCTGAGTATGTATATAGATACAGTTTTTTCACTGGTCTTCAACGCAGAACAGTTCCTTAGCTGGGTTCTGTTCTTTTGCCTCATAGGGCCTGCGTTGGGTGGTGTAGTATAATGGTCAGTACAACACGTTGTGGACCAAATACTGCTCCCGTGTAAATCTGGGTTCGATTCCCAGCACCGCCAACATTTTTGTCTGACCCGTCGAGTATGACGGGTCAACTTTGCTTTTGATGTGATCCCTGACAATGAATGAATGGTCTTGATTTTATTCACTTCAATGTTGCTAAAGAAACTGCAAAAATTGCATTGTATCCATTGCACATGATCAACAGTCGTAGTTACCTTAGCTACTACATAGCTACACACTGTTTAAATTGTGGAAGTTACGTCGATGTGCCGGTACCTTGTAGGCAAGTACGCATTTCGTAATGCTACAAGAGTGGGTCACCAATGCACGTTGCACTTTAAAAAAAAATAACATTTGAAATTCCAACCGGAGCTTAACTCGTCATGCGACACGTCTTTTGGTTTTCTTTTTCTTTCTTCATCAACTTTCCATCTGAACACAACGCTCTTGAACATATTGCCATCAGGACGATATTTTCAATCAAGGTGATTTTCGCATCCGTTCAACGAAAACAAAAACAATCTCGTAATCGTATACACATTTATTATTCTTGTTCATTCTCGAGTCCTGCACGGTGTTAGTCCTTGATCTATGGATGGTTCTGTTGCCCAGCTGATTCATCGCAATCATGGCACAAGTTAGCATTCCCAAAGAACCCATCGCCATAGCTTCAGGCTATCAGCCGGGCGGTCAGAATGGAAGTTTAACGGCAGCTGATCTAGAAGGGATCCGCCAATATCAGAAGGTTATCAGTTTTCGAGATGCCATAGTATCTGGCAAGCATCCTCGTATCAAGGTTGCTGCTAAGCCCGCTACTCCAGCTACTCCAGCTCAACAATCTCAAGCTTCTCCCTCTACTATACTCGCGCCAGAACGCGTTGCGCCCTCATCATCATCCACACAGCCCCAAGCATCCCAAGCATTGCAAAATACACATGCAAATACACTTGCACCTAATCTCAATTCTCACCAGGTGGATAATCTTAATTCGTTCATGACCAACTTACAACAATCAGCTGTCGCCTCAGCTGCGACTGGTAGCTCTGGTGCACCTATTACCTCCTCTACCTTTATCCCGGGTGTTCTAGCACCTTTAGCTTATAATAAGACTACTCAAGACCTTCAAGCTAAAGCAATGTCTCTTGACAAGCAGAGGGAAAAGCTCGAACGGGAACTCGAAGAACAGTTTCATCAGCGATCAGCTTTGCGATTCTCATCTGAGCATATTGACTTAGATCTTGCAGATGTTTTGGCGAAGGCCATAACCGTCGTACAAGCCACGGCTCCATTAACCGTCGGTACTCCTAACGCTGCCGCCGTTTCCGACTCGAGCGATTCCTTCGACGATAATACGTTCTACTCCAGTTCGTTTGAGACTCCTGTCTCGCGTGCTTCACCTCGAGCCCAGAAGGTAGTAGGTCAAGATGTGCCAATGCAAGACTTCGTTGCTCCCCAGCGTGGACCACATGCGGCGCCGATTGTGAAGCCGCTGCCTAGGTATGTTTCTCAGTCGCCCACTCACTCCCCGACACCATCGTGCCAACAACAGATAAGTCAGAACGAGCAGCCGACCCAAACCGCGAGTAGTTCGCGCCCGTTACCGCCGAACACTAGCATTCCACTTAAGCCTACCACCCAAGGTCCCGAATCATCCTTGGTAGCACAGTTCCAGCAGTTACATTCTATGGAACCGCAAGTTATCAGTTCAGACAGCGGTCCTGCTAGTAGATCAGACAATGGTAATACAGATTCGGACCAGCCTGGTGACTATAGAGCTCGCCTCGCCGGCTTACTTCCTGCCCCCTCCTTAATACAACAGCAGCCTCAAGGCCCCTTAGTTCGCGCTCACGACCTTTCGCCGTACGCTCCCCAGCCCGCACACATTTCGTCGCTGGCAACAGTTCGAGTACCACCTGCCTCCGACCCAGAAATCAGCGTCTTGCCAGGTGCGCCAGCGCAGGTAACTGCTTTAAGACAAGAGCATGGAGTTGTCACTAGTCCTGAGAGCTCCCCTCAAGGAGAGAAGCGGGGCAAGAAAAAGAACAAGAAGAATAAGAGAAAGGCTGAAACGAGAGCATCAGATGTCCCAGGATCTCCTTACATCAAACCTGAACCTCGTTCACCTTCACCTCTGTCGGCACCGCAGTTTGTCCGACCTCAGAAACGATTACGATCGGGCTCTCATCAACAGCCAGAGCTAGTGTATGATGAGCCGCGAATCAGACGACCAGTTTCTGTACTGCGTCGCGAACCCTACACTGCAACACATGCACCAGCTGCACGATCTCCTTACGGGTTCGAGAGAGTAGATGATCCATACGTGAGACAAGCACGTCAGTCTGTAGCTCCTGTGACTCAAAGACTGGACCGTGCCGTGTACGAGGAGCGGCGACCTGATGGAGCGGCTGTGCAGTATATTCAACGTGTTCAATCTCCCTATGATTATGCGGCTCCCTACAACGTTGCTGAGTCGCGTCCTTTACGCTCGGCCAGTTACTCCTTAAACCCCCAATATCGAGAGCTTTCTGCTTACCCGCGGGATGGCCGAATGAGTGTACGGCCTTATGCTGATCGTGCTAGATCGCGATCGCCCATTGCTATCATTGAGAGACGCTCGCCTATCATGGCGCCCCCGGCGCCCCCGTCTCGTATCATAGTTGACCAATATGGTCGCGAGTATATCGAACCTCCTCCCCGTGCTAGCGCGGTTCCTCGCCATTCTGTCGTACCGGGTCCGCGACCAAGTGAACGCGAGGTTATCTACGAACGAGTCCCGGCGCGTGACCCATCTCGTGTGCCCAGAGAGACGTTCGAAGAAGATGGGATTATCTACCGACGTGCGTCGCCTACATATCCTCCTCGACGTGTAGTCACACAACCAGAATACGGGGTCGATTACAGAAGCTATCGTGAACGCGACTATCCAATGCAACCCATTAGAGCACCTAGTCCAGACTTCGTACCGATCCGAGGAGCAATTGGTGGACGAGCACCCGACGAAATGTCCCGGGACTATCTCCCTAGAGCTACAACCGTGCGACCAGCCGAGGCTGTGCCATATTATCATAGGCCTGATACTGTACGACCAGATTTACCTCCCAGACATTATGCTGCCAGCGTCCACCCTGAGGTAAGAAGAGACGCGGTGCCTCCGGTAGCCAGAGAGTATAGCGTCAGACCGGTAGAACGTGATGCATCCAGACGCGAATATAGCGTCCGTCCGGGAGATCGTCTCTACAACAGACCACTCCATGTAGATGAAGACGTCACCTTCATTGAACACCCGCAAGCAGGTCAACCGGAGATTATTTACGCAGAAACTAGTCGACGCCAACCTTATTAGTGAGCACGTGTTACCCAGGGATCGTATACATGAGAATTGTACATTATGACCCAGTCTGCAGAGGAATAATACTGGAGGATACGGTGCCTCATTGGTTTGCCTACCCAACACCTAGGTAGCCAATGTTGGCATCGTTCGGACGTGGTAGAGTTAGAGCCCTGCCATAGTCTTGATGTTGTACTATACTGCAATATTGGCATAGCCGAGTGCGAGTTTGCTCGGCATTAGCATTGGAGTGGGGGGGTTCATGACCTCAGGCGTTGCCGTAAGTGCCTAGTGTGCTCCGTGTGGAATTTGGGCGGTGGCATGCAAGTTTCCCTATTTGACGAAGCTTGATACAGTCAGGTGCTCATGTACGCACTTGCACCGGCTGTACATAATTCTTAGGCTGCCTTAATAAACCACACATAGGACCCCAATTCGTTCCGCATTCCTTGAGTGAAAGTGACACGCTACATACTAATAGTTTTTATTAATCTTAGATTATGGCAACTCTGATCTGCATAGACGAGGCAAATGTGTGAACTAGGCAAGGGATGGACGTGAGAAGGCGTTCCTTCTTGCATGTATTGTAACCATATCCTGCCGTCATTTTGATTGTGGTTGTAGGATGTGAGGATGTTAGCCGAAGCGGTGGTCGGCAATACATGCATACGCTCCGTCCACAATCCGGCTATCTAGAGGTATAGTGTCGAGGTGCAAGATGACTGACTTTGCCTAATAAGAGTACGGTTATTGGGTATTAGGTATTAAAATCATTTATCTAGATATGATCTACTTGTAGATAGGCATTTCCTCTATTAATAATTGCCATTTAGGGGATCTTATTTTCTTTTGTTTCCGTTGATTGATGAATGTTCGGTGAGTTAGTAGGTACCTACTGAAGTAAACATAAAACATAAAACATGCCTCAATATAGTATCGTCTAGTTCGGCTCGGGATTCGGAACCGCGTAGCTTACGATGGGGGCTACCAGCCCTACATGTATAAGCCGTCCCACCACCGGACCTTCGGCAGCCATCACACACGCACGACGCGCGGCCCCGGCTGCCCCTTAAAAGGTATGTAGGGGAATAGGGGAGCATAAGAAGTATGTCAAGATCTTGAATTGGGACCAATATTTTAATATAGAGAGAGCCTCGTGGCATACTCGTAGTCGAAGATTGTTTACCTAGACATGTACGACATCAATGCTTAGTATTTGTTGGTATTGTTTATGTGGCACTCTTCCAGGGGTTCGGGCTTGACTTGGTCGTATAATTTGCTATTACCCTTATTATGCTTATGAATTCCTTGGAAGCTTAAGTGAGATGGAAAGATAGGAGGTAAAAAACTTGATGTAAATCGACAAGGGGAAATGCTCAGCTGAAGCTTCACGAGGCAAAGACGAGGGGGGTCCCCTAACTTAGATAGTTAATAGCTACATATCCTACATATATGTGTGCATTGTCTTGCTACGTGTTGTCTCCTGCTTTACTAATTCCCGGGCGATTAATAAAGAAAGGGATGAGAGGAAGCGCGGGAGATCCGCCAACTCAGATCGATACATCGGATATGCTACCTACTGTCCGTAGTATGCAGTAGTTAGCCACACAATGTGGAGGAATTATCTTAGTTACGCGCCGTAATCCATCTGATTGTCTGATTTTTTGACTCTTTGTCGGCTCGAGCTTCCAGTCTACCTGGTGTTTAGGTACCTATTTATTAGTCTTG